TGTCGTTGTGCTCGGACTGTGTGGTGACTTTGTGATCCACCCTGAGCTTGCTGTGCTTTGCGTGACTGGTCTTGTGACCCCTTGTTCTCCCCCACTTTGCCTATGGGGGTGTGTCAGAACATATATATAGCTTATGCAGTTGTGTAGGCTATAGTGGGGTATGCCATAGGGGGTACAACCCAATTATGGTTTCCTATATGTACTCACTTCATTCATAGTTCATTCATTCTTGTTCAAACTTTCTCAGAGCTATGCGTTGTTAGTGGCTTACGTGGACGACATCCTCTACGTCAGTTCGTCTACTTCGCTGGGTGATCGTATCGAAGCTGATCTGAAGAAGTCACTTGACTTAACCATTTCTACCAAAGTAACTCAATTTCTGGGGTTAAACGTTTCGCGAACTTCTTCCGCTATTCATCTCACGGCGTCGAAGTATGCGGAGTCACTCGCTAAGCGTTTCAACATTTCCACGGATTTCGTTGCTACACCTCATCGGTCTACACTCACCGGGCACGTTCCCAATTTGAAAAATCTGTCAGCAGCTGGTCTTCAACTGTATCAGCAGCAGCTGGGATGTCTTCTTTTCGCAGCAGTCACCTGTCGCCCTGATCTTGCCCACGTCGCAAGTCACCTTGCGCAGTTTCTACGCTGCCCGAAAGAAGAACACTCTCTCGACTTACAGCGTGCGCTACGCTAATTCGTCTCTACACCAACACTCGGATTGATTTTCAACGCTGGGAAGCTGACCGACAAAATGTACCTCAGCGGGTACGTTGACGCGGACCACGCTGGCGACACGTCAGATCGACGGTCACGCACGGGTTATATTTTTCGTCTCGAGCCGATTGGTCCGATTTCCTGGAATTCCTCGAAACAGGAACTGGTGTCACTTTCATCGGCTGAAGCAGAATTCATCGCCGCTTGTGCTGCAACTCGCGAAGGTCTGTACCTGCAGGAATTGCTTGACGAAGCAAAATTCGTCACGCCAAATCAGTTCACGTTGCAGTGCGACAACCAGAGTGCAATTACCATCGCCAACAAGCCTGGTTTCGTCAATCGCACGAAGCATATTTCGCTGCGTTACTTCTTCGTAAAAGACGCGATCGACAAGGGGAGAATGCGCCTTGTTTACTGTGTGTAAAATCGAAAGAAAGAAGAGAGGAGCGGTTGCACTAGCAAGAATGAGGATACAAATAGCAAACCCTAGAAGGGTTGTACTCGCTATAGAGCACCCCACTACAGGCTAGAGCATAATATTCTGACACACCCCCATAGCCAAAGTGGGGTGTAATCAGCAGAGCAAGCAAAGCAGTACAAGCTCAGGGTGGATCACAATGTCACCACACATTCTGAGCACAAGTTCAAGAAGCAATAGTTTAAAGCTGCGGTATACATTTGAAAGGAAGAGTTCAAAAACTTTTGAAATTTGAAAAGTTGCCCCAAACCTGTGAGGCTCACTCCCTAAACCCTGAACCCTGCTGACAAATGTATACTTCAGCTTTAAAATTCACAATTATGAGCAAAGCTAGTGGTAGTCACAACGGGCAAGTGAGGAGGAGGAAAGAGACTATGAGAGGAGAGGAGGTAGTGGGCGGCAGCTGAAGCTGCTGGCACACGGCGCAACTGGAGCAACTGGCACACGGGCAACTGGAGCAACTGGCACACTGGCAACTGGAGCAACTGGCACACGGGCTACTGGAGTAACTGGCTCCACGGCTAAAAGTAGCGGCAGACGAGCAACGGACTCACGGGCGACTGGAGCAACGGGCTCACGGGCGACTGGCGCAACGGGCTCACGGGCGACTGGCGCAACGGTCTCACGGGCGACTGGAGCTGCTGGCTTCACGGCGGCCACCCCCTTCAACCTCCCCAAACTATCCCACTCCCCCTGACACACACCCGCTGCTACACCGCTAGCTCCACTCCCCCTTCACCCCCCCTTAGTACCACTCCAACGGCTCCAACAAGTCCACCCCCCCTCAGCGGCAGCTGCAGCACAGGGAGACGGAGGAGGAGGAGGAGCAGGGAACGGCACACAGTGGCTTCACCCCATACCCCTCACCCCCAAACCCTAATTCAGGAGAACGGGCTGTAGGAGGGGTGGGGCGCCAGTAGAAGCACGGGGGACAGCGGGGAGGGCAGGGGCAGCAAGGAAAGGGCCGCCCACGGGCCTGGCACAGCCGCCCGAACCGCGCGCAGGCGGCCCGAGCCGCGCGCGGGCCTGGCGCAGCCCGTACGGGCCGCGTGCGGGCCTGGCGCAGCCCGTAAGGGCCGCGCGCTGGCCTGGCGCAGCCCGTACGGGCCGCGTCCGGGCCTGGCGCAGCCCTTACGGGCCGCGCGCAGCCTGTACGGGCCGCGCGCAGGCCACGACGGGCGACGGGGGGCGACGCGCGGGTCCCCGTCGCCCGTCGCAGCGCCTCCCGAGGGCGACGCGCCGAGTGACGGGGCAGAAGCCCGCCGCGCGCCTCGGGGCGCACAGCGGGCAGAGAACCGCCGCGCGCCACGGGGCGCACGGCGGGCAGAAAACCGCCGCGCGCCTCGGGGCGCACGGCGGGAAGAAAAACTGCCGCACGCCACGGGGCGTGCGGCACAGAGGGTAGCAGTGGAAGTTGCAGCGGAAGCAACGAGGTGGTGAGCCCACCCACAGGATCGATCCAAGGGGATCGACCTGCTCTGATAGCATGTGTAAAATCGAAAGAAAGAAGAGAGGAGCGGTTGCACTAGCAAGAATGAGGATACAAATAGCAAACCCTAGAAGGGTTGTACTCGCTATAGAGCACCCCACTACAGGCTAGAGCATAATATTCTGACATACTGTCCCACCAGCGACATGGCCGCTGATTCGCTTACTAAGAAGCTGACACGTCAGAAATTTCATCACTGCTCAGTGGCATTTCCGAGTCAACAGGGTGACTACACCGAACTCCTAGAAGTGAAGGGGAGTGTTGAGATAATATCGAGACTTATGCACTTCAAGGAATTCGTGTAGTATAGTTAGTACAGTAAAAGTACCGATAGACTGACGTCAGCAAAGCGCTACGCGCCCTAGGATGACGTCAGCAGTAGCTGTAGGTATCGCGAATAGTCACGTACCGTTTCAGAACAGGAATAGCGTGAATAAATACAACACAGTAGGCGAACAGGTACTTTAGTCTAGCTATATATTCTGTATGCTTGTCATTTTATAATATACTTGATTTCAGAGACATTGTTCCTGTTACAAGTCACTCACATAAGACTTCCACTGCTACAGGAAGCTACTATCCTAAGACTACGATCCTATTCAGACAGTTTAAATTCTAACAACAACCACCCTCGCCACAAGCACAGGCCTCAGCACCACCACCCCTTCCTCAGCCCGTTGATTGTGGGCCCCACGGAACGCCAGCAGCACCTGAAAGCAGCCAGTGCATCTGTTCCCAAGGCTGGACTACTGACCCAAACCAGAGCCTTGGCCGAGCCTTCCAGTGGTGCACCCTACCTGAAGGTGCGACTTCATTTCCGTCGCCATTTCCATCAGATTCCGGACCTCCAGGAAGCATTGGGAATGATGGTGCTGGCGTTGTAAAGGGTCGTAGCAGTTTCCCAAGCTCAAAGGGGAATGAGGGACAAAGTGCGAGCAAAAGGTGCACTCCTGGTTTGGGAGCTGGAATGATTGCGATTATTGTGGTTGTGGTTGTAGTGATTGTGCTTGTATGCTGTGGTTGTGCGGTGTGTGGGGTGTGCATGTGGCGACAGAGGCAACCTGAGAGGAAGGCTATGGAGGATATGCGGACTGAGTTGACCCTCATGACAATGTCCTCCTATGAAAGTTCGTTTAGTGTACACCCATACTCTAAACCAGTTGGGGTGCTGCCAGAGTTCGTTCCAGGTGAAGAATATCAAAAATTCAAAATGGGTCTTCCTGGTCAGGCCCCCAGAATTCAGAGAAATTTCTCTGATTTGCCTAAAAAACTCAGATATTTCAGCCTTTTTTCGAAGTGAACTCTGAAAATTTAGCCTTTTTTTGAGAAAAACCAGGAAAAATGCGATTTTTTCTAGTGTGCAGTGGTATTTCTGCAGGAAAAACTCTGATTTTCAGAGTGAAGTCATGTACCAACTCTGAATTTTCAGACTAGCCCAAAACCAATCTGAGGGCCTGTTCCTGGTGAAGCATTGCCAGCCAGATATGGGGGCTCAGTGGTGGAAATCGGTGTAGATGGGAGGGGAGGGTCGGTTTCTATGCCCTCAAATCCCCCTCCTACAAATGGAGGTGCTGTACAGAGAAGGCCAAGCATAGGATTGAATGAAGTTCTCTGCTAGATCTGAGTTTGAAATATGTATATAATCTAATTTATGTAATGTCATGATGTACACTTTGTTTCCGTGTGTCACTCCAATTATTTGCGAAAGCCTCCGCTATCGTGCAAAATTCGGCCCGTGCGGTTGTGGACCAGAACAGTACACGTCACGTCACTCCCAAAAACCTATTATTCCGCACACCTTCCGCCTTACTGTTCTGTTCATTCACGTCTTTAGGACCCAACTAACCTCGGAGGACACAGTTTTAGTTCCGCAATCATCTTCCCTTCAGTTCGTCGACAGTGTGCGCGCGCATGGCTCCACGCTCCGTGCAAAGTGCCGCATGTTCATGGCAGCAGCAGGCCGCCGTGCACCCATGCTGCGATCCGTCGATCACAGTCAGCGTGCGAAATCTAGCTACAATCCACCCACGATCGCGTGTGCGACATCCTCCGACGAGCAGTCGCCGGAATTTAGAACTTTCTGCCTGGCAGAACAGGGATTCGCGAGTCTTGCCCCTAAGCGAGTCCTTCCGCTGTAGTTTCTATATAGATCGAACATCATTTCCGGCTTTTCAGAGGCAAATTGTCAGGCACCGTTTATCGGATAGAGGATCCGAGCTGTTTACCCGGAAAGTGGCTGCTACCGGCGGTCGAACAAGTATATTTTATCAGACTAAACTATGTACCAGCCGAACGGGTTCTACCTGCCGAACGGCGATGGGCATAACGTGGTCTGCTTATAGCGGGAGTTTCTCGCGTCCGAGAAGGCGATTGGCTCCCGCGATTTCAGCGCGTTTGGGCTCCGGAGACGATGCGTCAGGACCTTTCGCCAAGCTGGCTTCTCTGATCCCAACTCCTAAATCTCCCAAGTCTCCCACCACGGCGGCACGTGAATCTTCTAGTAACACGAAGAAGTGGAAGAGTGCGGCAGACGAAAGTACGGCAGGTGAGGCAGAGACGCAGGTCGACACGGCGCGTGCTGCGGATGCTTCTGATACAGGGATCGACGGCGGAGCGAGTGCTGGGAGGGATCCTGGTAGAAACGAGCTGTATCAGAAGCAACAGCAGCAGCAGCAGCAGCAGCAGCAGCAGGAGAAGAGACCGGAGGAGCAGGGAACGAAGCGGACACAGCAGCAACCGAAGCAGCAGCAGAAACAGCAGCAGCAGGTGGGAGTGGGGGGGAATGGCAAGGGAGGAACAACAGGAGCCGAATGTGACTCAAACGGTCGACCTCCAGGCGCTCGTCAGAAGCGGCAACAGCGAGGAGGAGTGGCAGCAGGGAGCAGTCGGGGTGGGGTGGGAGCAGAGGGGCAGGAGCGAGGGGCGAAGTCAGGGCAGAAGGAGAAGCGAACGGGGCAGGCAGGAAGCGGGTTGGGGTACGTGGATCAGCTGCGGGCGCTGCAGGCCCAGATGCAAGGAGCAGAGAGTAAACCAGCGGAGATTAAAGTAGCAGAGATCAAATCAGCGGAGAAGCAGCGGCAGCAGCAGCAGCAAGCAGCGGCACGCGTGAGTTGGTTTGAAGAAAGCGAAGAGCGGAGGAGGAAGCAGGGATTGGACGCCGAAACGCCTTATGAGTCAACGCAAACGAGAAACGGGTCAGAGGTCAGGGAAGTGGAAATGCAGGGGGGTAAAGCAGCAGCAGAGACGCAGCAGCAGGATGCAGTGCCAGTGAGCCGTGCTGCTGGGGAAAGAGGAGAGTCGAAGGGGAGAATTCTAGGAAACGGAGTAGGAACAAGTAGGAAGGTGCAGGTGCAGGAATCTGAGGCGCGATACCCCTGGGATGATCCCGAGGAGCAGGCTGAAAGGGGGGAGGAAGAGGGTGAGATGGGGAAGGGTCGCAGGGTTGAGAGTGCTGATGGGAGCAGCGTTGGAAATGGTGTTGCAGGCCGACCCGGTGCTGGCAGTAGCAGAAGGAGAAGAGAGGCGGAGAGAGGAGAGGCGGACAGACTAGAGGAGGACAAAGGAGAGGAGGTTAAAGGGGAGAAGGGCAAAGGAGAGAAGGACAACGGGTCGAGGGTAGATGAAACGGGTGCAGGGGTTGGCACTGGCAGTAAAGCAAGCAGGAGTGGGCAGTGTGGGGAGAAGGCGAGGGAGGGGGGTGGAAAGGAGAGTGGGGGTGCAAGAAAAGGCGAGGAGAGCGGGGGTGAGAATATGGAGAGTGGGCGAAGAAGTGCATTTAGATGGGAAAGAGGCAGCAAAACGGAAGAGAGAACAGTCACCAAGATGGAAGTAGAGACTCAGCAGGACCAGGAGAAGCAGCAGAATAAGCAGCAGCAGCAGGAGAAGCAGAAGTTGAAGCAGAAGCAGAGAACCAGCGGCGGCAGTCAGAATGGCAGCAGTACTGGTGGTGTTAAGGCAGGCACTGTTACTACTGGTGCTTCTGGCAACAGTACTGGTGGCGGTAAGGCAGGCACTGTTACCACCACTGGTGCTTCTGGCAGCATAAGCACCAGGAGGAGTTGCAGCAGGAAAAGCAGATCTGGCAATGCCAGTGGGAATGACAGCGATAGCGACAGAGAAAGTGGAAGTGAAGGGGATGGGGATGCAAAGAAGGGCCTCGTACCAGGCACTGACGAGAAGGATTGGAAGGAGGTTTGGTCGTCAATAGACACTGAGGTGAATGGTCGTGATGGTGGTGGTGGTGGTGGGCTTTCGGATGGTTCGTCCTCGTCTCGGCCTCGGCGGCAGCTACCGCCAATCACAGGCGAGATGGTTCTGGCCAGCATGCAGCGAATGGCCAAGGAGAGAGCTGCTGCTTCTGCAGCCGCGGCTGCTGCTGCTGCGGCTGCTTCTGATAGTGAGGATGAGGAGGGACAGAGGAGGGTGAAGGGGGTGAGGGGACGAGGGAGAGGGGGTGCACGGAATACTTTGAGTTCAGTGGAGTTGGATGATTTGGAACCGATTGTGGTCAAGGAGGAATGGGGTGTGGAGCTGGAACGGTTGTTCGGGAAGCTCGAGCAATTGAAGAACAGAGGTTGAGCATAGTCAATGCCGTTGATTATGTTGAGAATTTTGATGCTGCATCAAGTCTTGCGCTCATACAGGAATTGTATCTTTTGATGGAAGTTGGCTTGGATCAAATGAATCTAGGCTGATTGGGAATGGAAGTGGATTTAATTAGAAACCTACATTTCCTTTCATTCTAAGCACCCAGATATGTTCGTGTTCGGAAGTCCGAATGTAATGATAGACTTCGCGAGTGGGCGACAGGTCGAGTATGATCCTCTTGAATGTTCTTTCCCGCCCATACCTGTCGAAAACCGTAGCCGTCGATTCGGCATCTATCCGAGCTTCCCAAACATAAAAGAACTCATCTTGAGATTGTCACACAACGGGGAGTCCATGCGACACACCAAAAGCTGATTTGTGAGCCTTTCACATCGCCAGAATCGATATCACCAATGTTGATTCGTGCACTTCAATCTTCACTGATCCGCCGTCCTTTCGCAACATCATTCGCCATGTCGTGCTGTAACAAGGCAACTCCCGTCGCGAAGCCGACGTCGTGCTGCGGGCCTAAGGCGTCCGCCGCTCCGTCGGAAGCCAAGGCGGTGACCTCATCGTGCTGCGGTCCGAAGACTGCTCCCGCTCCGTCAGAACCTACTAAGAGCAGCTGCTGCGGGCCTAAGTCCTCCGCGTCTCCCGCCGCCTCGACCGGCGGCGCGGGGAGCGACGTGACGCATGCTGACGTGAGCGAGTATTACGGGAAGACGGTGCAGCAGCAGACGGATCTGCAGACGTCAGCGTGCTTGGTGAAGGGCGGCCTGGGGGAGGACATTCGCCGCCTGCTCAGCAACGTCCACGATGAGATCTTGTCGAAATTCTACGGCTGTGGTTCGCCCATCCCTCCCCTGCTCAAGGTACATTAATGTGAAAGTGATCTGAGCCGTTCCTTGCGCCCGGATACTCACTGGATCTATCCCCCCCTGCATTTTGTTTCGTTTGAAGGACAAGTGAGCTGATTTTTTACATTGCTCCGTTACAGGTCAACATTTTGGTCAACATTTCGGATCTATAGGAATTGAATGCACCTCACGTCTCGCGTCCGCGCCAGCCAACGTGGTGGTCATTAGCCTCTCTCGGTGTGGTTTGAGTCGACTCAAAAGCACACTCAGACCTCCCCGGTCGCGTCCTGGGTTCAGCCTGGGCCTGCCTGGCCAGATGGGGCCTACTGGGGTGAGCTGCGGCCCTCTGGGGCCAGCCAGGGCCTGCCAGGATCCCGTAGTTTCCCAGAGCCGAGAGTCCATCTCGTTCTCTCCCCCTCCCCTCCCCTCCCCTCCCCTCCCCTCCCCTCCCCACCCCACCTCTCTCCTTCCCTCCCCTCGCTGCAGGGCTGCACGGTGCTGGATCTGGGTTGTGGAACGGGGAGGGACGTGTACGTGGCAGCTCAGCTGGTGGGGCCCACAGGCCAGGTCATCGGGATCGACATGACAGGTCAGCAAGGGTTATGATGAGGGAGATGGAAGGGGGACGAGGGAGAGGGAAGGGGGACGAGAGAGAGGGTAGGACGAGGGAGAGGGTAGGACGAGGGAGAGGGTAGGACGAGGGAGAGGGTAGGGGGACGAGGGAGAGCGTAGGGGGAGGGGCCGACATGGAACGCGAGCTGTTGATTAAATACTCTGGGTGATTAACGGAACACGGAACTAAGTGCAGGGTGTTTTGAGACGTCTCAAAAGGGGCCGACACGGAACGCGAGCTGTTGTTTTAATACCTGGGTGATCAACGGAACACAGAACGAACTGTTGGGAGAATAATATTTCCATCCACCCCTCCACCTACCCCCTCCCCCTCCTTCTTCAGTTTCAATCTTACATCCCCGAAGTCATTGTGAAACCCTGACTAACCCTGACAGTTTTCCCCTCCTTCCCTCTGCGCGTCGATGCGCAATCAGGTGGCAAGCACAACCAGGCATTGCCAGGATCTTAACTTCCCTCTCCCTCTCCTCGCCCTCTCCCTTCCTTCCCCATCCTCCCACCTCCTTTCCGCCCCCCCCCCTCCCCTCTGCTTTCCCTCCCCCCACCCTCCATTCTCCCTTCCCTCCCTCCCCTCCCCTCCTCCTTCCGCCCTCCTCCTTCCCTTCCGCTCCTAATCAACTCCCCAGACGAGCAGCTAGCACGAGCGCGGAAGCACAAGGAGTGTCACTGACTGCTCATGTTCTCCAAAACCCTCCCTCCTTCCCCCTCTCTTCCGCTCACCGCTCCTGCATCTGATGCCCTCATCAGCAGACGAGCAGCTGGCAGTGGCGCGCAAGCACGAGAAGCGCCGCTGAGAGGCACCGCTGAGAGGCACCGCTGAGAGGCACACCCGCTCATTCGTCTTCCTCCCTTCCCTCCCCCTCCCGTTCCGCCTTCCTGTACTCCACAGACGAACAGCTGGCAGTGGCGCGCAGGCACGAGGAGTATCACTACGAGGACACTTCCCTGTGCATCTCCCTCCCTCCTTCCGTTCCCCCTTCTTCCCCCCACCCTTCTCCCCCTCCGCTTGAAATTTCCCGTGCCCAGACGAGCAGCTGGCAGTGGCACGGAAGCACGAGGAGAACCACCGGGAGAAGTTTGGATTCGAGAAGTCCAACGTGTCGTTCCACCCCGCCCACCCCCGGCTCACCCCCCCCCCTACATGTGCTACCCTCACCTGCAGACGAGCAGCTGGCAGTGGCGCGGAAGCACGAGGAGTACCACCGGGAGAAGTTTGGCTTTGAGAAGTCGAATGTGTCGTTCAGGAAGGGGTTTATAGAGGATCTCAAGGCTGCTAATGTCGAGGACAGGTGGGTAGTTGAGTGTTTAGGGGGGTTGAGAGGGGTTGGGTGTGTGGTTGGTCAGCTGGTTGTGCGAGTGGGTGGGTGGGTGGGAGGGTGGGTGGGTGGGAGGGACGGCTATCATCAGTGCACCTCGCCCTCCATCGTCTTACCCTCACCACCTTTCCCTTCCTTCAGCTCCCCCCTCTGTTCCCCCTCTCCCCTTTGAGTCGACTCAAAACGAGGTGACTTTTGAGCCGACTCGATAGTTCCCTTCCTTCAGCTTCCCACTCTTTTCCCCCTCTCCGCCTACACCTCCTTCCCTCAGTTTTGAGGTGCCTCAAAAACCCTTCCTTCAGCTGCCCACTCTTTTCCCCCTATCCCCCTACACCTCCTTCCCTCCGTCCACCACCTTGTACTCAACACCACCTGGACATGGTTGAATCCAGGTGACTTTTGAGTCGACTCAAAAGTATCCAGGGTATTCTTGAGAATTCTCAACAATACCCTGCCTCGTCAACCTCGGCCCCAAACAAGGCCAACTCACCATCCCACCTCAACACTCCCGCGCTCTCTGTCTCTCCCTGCTTGCGAAACCCCTCACCTTCCTCTCCCACACACAGCTCGGTAGACGTGGTGGTGTCCAACTGTGTCATCAACCTCGCCCCCAGCAAGGCCAACTCACCATCCCAATCCACCTCAACACACCCTCTCTCTCTCTCTGCTTGCAACTCCCCTCGCTTCCCTTCCCTCCCCGCACTTCCTCTCCCACACACAGCTCTGTCGATGTGGTCGTATCCAACTGTGTCATCAACCTCGCCCCCAGCAAGGCACCTCTACACCCCAACTCATGCCTTTCTCTTCTCCGTGCCCCACTCTTATTGTTCCCTGCCTTTTGCTTTGCTCCCTTCACAGCGCGGTGGACGTGGTGGTGTCCAACTGTGTCATCAACCTCGCCCCCAGCAACACACTGGTGATTCCCACCTTATGCCATACTGTCTCGCTCCCTCCCCCCCCTATCCTTCCCGTTTCCTTCATTCTTCCATCCCTTCACAGCTCCGTGGACGTGGTGGTGTCCAACTGTGTCATCAACCTCGCCCCCAGCAAGGTGCCTGTGATCTCCGAGATCGCCCGCGTGCTCAAGACGGGCGGCGAGCTCTACTTCTCGGACGTCTTTGCCGACCGCAGAATCCCCAAGCACCTGCAACAGGACAAGGTGAGGTGGGGAGGAGTGGAGGCAGGGGGGATGGGGGTTGGTGGGGCACGAGGGCAGGGGGGGCAGGCTTAGTGGGCGAGTGCCTCATGGAGCTCCCTCCTTGGAGGATTTTCGCCGCCTCATGGCCTCCCATCTCGCCCCCTCCCCTTGTTCAAAACTCATCCAAACCTCTTCCCATCCGCATCAGGTTCTCTTCGGCGAGTGCCTCAGCGATGCTCTATGATCAGAGAATTGCGGTCGCCTCATGGCCTCTGTAGGGCTGGGCAAGTGGATAGTGGTTAAACCCTTCACTGCGTGTTTTCCCAATTACCAACTCCCTGTGACGCGTTTTTGGCAGGTCCACTTTGGCAAGTGCCTCAGCGGTGCTCTTTACCTGGAGGATTTCCGGCGCCTCATGGCCTCTGTGGGTCTGGGCGGGTGGGTGGTGGCTAACCCCTTCACCTCGTGTCTTTTCCTTCACTTGCTCCCTGTGACGTGCTTTTGGCAGGTTCTCTTCGGCGAGTGTCTCAGCGGGGCTCTTTACCTGGAGGATTTCCGGCGTCTCATGGCCTCTGTGGGGCTGGGTGGGTGGGGAGTGGTGGAGGCTCGGGAGCTCGACGTGGAAAATCCAGAGATTGCCGCCCGGGTGGGTCCGATTCGATTCTACAGCTTGACCGTCCGGGCAGTGAAGCTACCATCTGGGGCGGGTGACGGGGAAGGCGAGGACCTGCCCGAGAATTACGGGCAGACAGCAACTTATTCCGGGTCTATTCCAGGACAAGCGGGGGAATTCACCCTGGACAATGTGAGGGTGTTCAAGGCGGGTGTGGCCACGCCTGTGGATGCTACAACTGCTGCCATGCTGACTGTATCGCGCTACAGCAGTGCATTCACTGTGACTGAGAAGGGTGCTCACCAGGGCCCCTTCACTGCCTGGGCAAGGTTTCCGGCTTCGGTGGCTGGTGCCTGGTGGTCTGCTACTGTGGAGAAGGCGAAATCTGGGTGTTGTTAAACTGAATACCGTACGAGTCACCAAGTATTGCGATGAACAATGCCCGAACATTACCCTAGGTGCGTTGCTGTGATTAACGTGTCGTTTCGACAGGCCTGTGAAGAGGGGAGGTGGTGACCCTCGCTATCACTCCTTTTTACATGCAATATGAAAACAAACGCCATAGGGTGCTTGCCTATTGTACACACATTGATTAATGAGATGTGCTCGGCGAAGGAGTTTCTTCTTATGGTGTCAAAATTATTAGGGACATACCCATTGTCGCCTTTTAGTGAACCACAGATGTTGGAGCATTTTATCGAGGGGTCGTTTGGCCAACATACCTGCCTAAATGGGACCCGCATCAGTGGTAATGCCATGACACGTCTGCACAAAGGCGCGGGATCTTTCCCAGCAAAACCTGTCTGGTTGGTCCAATCCTTGCTGACGCGCAATGACGACAAAAGGTCCCTTCTGTGCGTGGATGGATGGACTTGCTGGTGGGCTACAGCACTGCAGCGATGCTTTTTAGCGGCGTGGCATACATACACGTGCCCAGTCAGCATCTTTGCGCAAGATGCTTTCTCATTCGGTAACCTGCATATCGCCACAGTCTCTATCCACCAATCCGTGTCAGTAACGGCTAGCGACTGCTCGCGTCTCGATCACGGAGCTCGTCAATTTGTTCTGCGAACGAACAACAGCAACATGACCAAAGAACCCTCACCACCAATCGCGAAGCAGACTCTGGCATCGTCAACACTTCGCCCATCCCCGTTCAAAGCCTTAGGGCGCGTAACGTTTTCTGTTTTTGTCAAATGTCCGGACGGATCCCCCAAACCGGCCGGACGGAGCTCTGTCCGAACGGTTGGGAATCAGGTCCGGACGACTGCCCGTCCGGACCACAAATGTGAAACGTTTTTGCACTTTCGAAAAAATAATTTTCACCCCGAAATGTAAAACTCATTACGATACTCGTACAGCGATCGCAAACTTCGCCACAACAAAATTAGCGGCGCAGTATTGGTTGTGGTTGTCACCCACTTCGTGCGCCAATGATAGCGCAGCCAAACGGACGGTCCGAGATGCCGTTCGGACGGTGTCAGTAGGGTGGACCGGACCACTTTTTTGGCAGAAAAGTGTCAGCTCTGGTCCGGACGGTATTGACGTCGCAGGGGGTCTTGCGAAGTCTTAAACGATTTTTGGCGAAATCAGTAACCCTACAAAAGTCCGGACGGGGTCGCCGTCCGGACGGTGGAAAGTGTAAAAGTCACGCGCCCTTACATTGTGAAGTTACTTCCCCCATTTCCCCTCCAGCTTCCATGGCAAGTAAGCCTATGTCGGTTACCATCAGACTTCGGCGAATCGCTTTCCATCTCAACGGTACTGCCCTATCTTCCCCTTTGTAACACCAATCCATCCAGGCTGGATGATTCAGCCCCGTCATCCAAACCCTCATCCCTTCCCCAGAGGACGTCAAATCAACAACACGAAGCTTTTTGTTTTTGTACCGAACGTAAATCCTAGAAAACGTTTCCAACCCACCCCGATGTTTTTTTTGGCTGAAGCTTTTGAAATCAGCGGCCATTATATGGGTGACAGACTTCCCTTCATATCCGTCCATGGATCCCTGCTTACCACAATGCGTTATGTCAACACTCTGCGTATCGGGTGATTCCAGAACTCTAGAACAGTACTGTCTGTAATGTCCCGGCCCCTTTCCTCACCTCGTTGGCGTGCCGATCCATTGCGGGCTCGCTGCTCGCAAGTTGTGACTTCCAAGTTGTCACGGTTTCGCGCTTCGCACAAAATGGGCTCGCAACGTCGCGACGACACGAACCACGCTCGCTCGACAACAGGGCAGGCGCTGCTATCCAGACGACGAGCAGCAGTCCTGCCGCTCCACGCGCACCGTGTTGCGTTCCGTTGCGCCAATCCCGGTGCTCGCGTGGCCGACAGCACAACTGAGTCTAGGCTGTACAGTACAACAGACTGCCACAGTACAGCAGTAGCGGAAGAATATTCGAGATATGTACCTCAGTACGAGCGGGGCCCTTACGTTGTTCGCGAAGTGGCTTATCTGGATTCGACGGGTCCTCCTGTCCCAAGCCAACTTGGGATTAGGTTCGTATAAAGCCGCCAAGGAATAGCAGAAACTCTGAAAGACAGGAAAGCTCCCGCCGTGCCTTGCCACCTTCGCCGTCTCTCTCTACCAGCTAGGCTGAATCTGCTACGAGCGTTTCACCTAGTAATAAGCGAAGGGTATCCATCTGGCTTGCCGTGATCGAATTCGCCGCTTCAACTGAAGCACTGTTTGGTGCACTACGAGCAATAGTAGCGAACGCGCTGTAAAGCCGACAATCAATAAAGATGTTTCCAGTCAGTTCAGACGATCCGCCTCCAAGTATCATTAGTAACGGCGACCCTAAATCCCGCGGCGGGATGATCGTGCGCGGGAATTTCCGGCGGGGCGGAGAATATCGCGTGGATGCGGAATGCAGTGAGCGCGCACGTCAAGCAGCGTGTACAAGTACTACTAGTAGTGCCCCTATTCGTAACGACTGGCACGACCTGATTGTTATGAGCCAGCACGATGGTCCCTGCGCGGCCGCCAATGCCGCAACCAGTCGGTTCCTCCACCATGACCAGCCCGTCGAAGAGCCCGGTTACCAGCACGACGAAAAGCATCTCGTGATGGTAACATCTCGCCGCCTGCATCGCCATCAGCACCGGAATCGATACCAGCAGCACGGCGGAAGCCCCACAACGACCTTTGACTTCCCCGCATCCCCGCCCTCTCTCTCCGCATCTCCGCCCGCGCTCGCCGCATCCCCGCCCAGTCCCCCCTCCCTCTCCCACTCTCCGCCGTTCCACCGCGCCGCGCACCGCCTCCCGCCCGCACCCGCGCCCTCCACCAGCTCTGGCGCGCGGAGATCAGCCGTTCGCGCCCATGAAAGAACCTCGGCCGGCGCATCATCGCCATCAGCAACACCTCCGTGTTTGATGCGCGCCGCGGCGGTTAACGTGCATCCGCCGCCGGCGCCGCGCGCCGTGGGTCTGCGAGAGCTCGAATCCCAGCGGCTGCCGCAGCACATGCGACGCGAGAGTTCGAATCCCTTTGAGACGCCGCAGCATGACGAGGTGTCTTTTGAGCGAGCAGCGGTGCAAGTGGGTGTGGGGCGGCAGCAGCGGCGGTCGCTGCTGCGGCAGTGGTTCCGTGACGCTCCTGATGGGCTCGTTTCGTGCTCCGTTGACCTACTCACTCAGGTCAACGCAGTCAACTCTCTCAACGAAGTCAACGCAGTCAACTCTCTCAACGCAGTCAACGCAGTCAACCGAGTTACACCCTCGCAAACAGGCGCAAAAGAAGCAGAATCGGGTTCGAGATGGGGCCTTGCAACCAGGGCTGCCGAGCAACTGACGACCACTCAATCAGAGGCGGAGGTGGGGGAGGTGCAAGTGGGGGAGGTGTTGAGGCGGCCAGTGGAAGACATTCGGCGGCAGTGGCTTTTGCTGAGGAAGGAGATAGGCAGGGGGCAGTACGGCGTGATTCGGAGATGCGTGCACCGCAGCACCGGGGAGATCGCTGCCTGCAAGAGCATTCGAAAGTCCGCCATTCAGGTACGGCACTAATTTTGTCTGCCCTGAATTCCTTGCCCTGCCCTCCTTGTCCCGAACCCATCCTACTTTCTCTTGATGTCAGGTCAGCACCTGCACACCCACATTGCTTGTGCCCTCGTATTAACCTTTCCCCTGACTTTGTCGTCCCCTTGTGCAGAGCGGTGCTGACGTGGAGGCAGTGCGTAATGAGGTGGCATTCATGGAAGAACTCGAGGGCCATCCCAACATTATTCAGATCAAGCAGGCTGCGGAGACGAACAAGGTAGATAACATTTTTTCCTGCTATTTCATGAACAGTGAAAATCTAGCTTGCGCACTTCGTGGTTTTGTTTCTAGGTTTTTTGTGTGTGTGCGTGTTGTTGTTGTTGTTGATTTTTTTTTTCCCATTCTGATTCCCATCCATAACCCCGTTTCTCACTTAAAACACGAGCTCTTAGTCAATAACCCCTTTCTTCTCCTTTTTCCTATGCCTCCCCTTATCCCCGCCTGCCCCCCTTTACTTCGCCCCCCTTCCCTTCCCTTGCAGCACGTGCACGTGGTGATGGAGCTCTGTGAGGGGGGAGACTTGTTTGACCGCATTGACTCCCACGGAAGGCTCTCGGAAGCTTCCGCAGCGCGCATCTTCCGATCGCTCATGCTGGCCTTGCAGCACTGCCACTCGCATGGCATCGTGCACCGCGACATCAAACCCGAAAACGTGCTTGTATCGAATAGTGCTTATAACGAGGACGCCCCAGGAGCCATGTTCAGCATGTGCCCAGAATCGCCTGAAAGCGTCAAACTGATTGATTTTGGAGTCGCTGCAAGAATGGCTCCGGGTTTTCCTCTTTCGGAGGAGGTGGGCACGGCAGAGTACATGGCTCCTGAGGTGTTTTCAGGGGCATACGGCCGTGAGTGCGACGTGTGGAGCGCCGGTGTTACTCTGTTCGTGATGCTCTGTGGGCAGACCCCGTACCTGCGAGATAGACCTGCCAATTCCAGCAGCAGCTGCAGCAGTGGGAAGGAGGGAGCAGTAGCTGAAGAGGGTGTGTGGCGGAGGGTACTGGAGGCGAAGAGGAGGGGGTTCAGCCACAGCCGGAGGTGGCAGGAGCTGTCGTCACCGGCCAAGCATCTCATCATTCGCATGCTCTCTGCTGATCCCACCACCCGAATCAGCGTGGACGAGATTCTCGGTGAGTTGTAGTCTCAGTTTCCTGTCTTTTGGTGAGTTGTAGTCTCAGTTTCCTGTCTTTTGGTGAGTTGTAGTCTCAGTTCACGTTTCCGCTATGAAATGATCATGTAAGCTTTGTAGTATCAATTCGCACGAGGGATGAGAGGGGGGGGGGGGAAGGTGTTTTACATGGTTTGTATGGGTTTAGTCTGGTTCTTGTCTATTTTTTTAGAGAGACTGACAGTTGCAATGCGATGTGTGGCTATTTTGCAGAGCATGAATGGATTGTGGCCTCAGAGAGGAGAATAAGGACATGGTCGGAACCGGCTCATTAAGAATCAAATACTGAGGGCCACATGTTTGTATGTAATGTTATTCAATGTATAAATAACTATTGTTAGTGCAACGGTAGCTGATTATAGCACTTGGTTTGGTGTTTCATTCCCAATTTTACTCCTGGTTGTAGGCAGGGTTGATTAAAGGCAAGGGTCAACTATCAGTTGCATGTGGTCCATATTTTTGGTTGACAGGTGATTAACTGCTGCACAAACGAGACAGAAGTGCAGATGTCGTAAGTGTTGGCCCGGTTTTGAGCAGTTACGGTTCTGGAATTGTCAAAACTACTGACCAAGAATGGTGGATTGAACAGAAAGTTGGATACAAGTACTAACCCTAATTGGGTTGTACCCCTTATGGGCTACCCCACTACAGCCTACACAATGTAAGCACTATATAAGTTTGACACACCCCCATAGGAAAAGTGGGGGAGAACAAGTGGTCACAAGACCAGTCAAGAAAAGCAAAGCAAGCTCAGGGTGGATCACGAAGTCACCACACATTCCGAGCACAAGCAAATGGCCACAAGGCCAGTTCATATGTAGAGTTATATAAAAGAGAACAAACAGTACAGTGATCATACCATAGCAGGTGTAAGCATGCAGATACCGTAATCACCCGGACATAACACCCTAGGGTCTTACTTTAAACACAGCAAAAAAATGGGGGGGGGCTTCTCATAGGAAAAGGCTACATACCACCCGGGTGCATATATCAGGGCTGACGTTTCATTTTAAGCTTCCCTGATTCCGGGGAAAATTTTCCCCCTCTATTATGGGTGCACATTTTCCAGAAAAGCAGTGGTACCCTGATTGCTCACGGTTGTAAAGTAGTTAACACTGATTGTTCAGGGTCGAGAACTGAACATCAGAGTAGTAACGCGCGCTTTGTTACCGGGGAAAATATCCCCACTCTCCATAAAGTCTCGAAGTTTCGATCAGAACGAAGTTTCGAAGAAACTTCGTCTCGACAAAGCGGGAAGGGGGGGGATTACGCACATGTGGGGGGATCACTGCGATCAATCCAAGGCGGGGTCATCGGAAGGAAACTTCCGAGAAACTTCCTCTCAATAAGTCAGGGTCCACACAGTCGATACTCTGTTAAGTCAGGGTCCACTAACAGCCTAGTCTGTTACACTGTACTCAAAATCAGGGATAGCTAAACTATTACTCTGATTGGATCAGGGCTAGAAATTCAATAACTCTGAAATTTCAGTCTCCACGAAGTGGAAAGCCTGAAATCACCCTGAAATCAGGATAATTACCCTGATAAAATCAGCCCTGGCATATATATGACATTTTTTTAGTGTAAGGGTTTCTATAAATAGGCAGCTTGGGTGTTTTCAAGGTTGGTTTAGCATCACAGTTGGAAGCGAGATTGTCAGTTTCGATGACAACATTGACTCCTCCTTGAAGTTGCGAGGTGGCACCTCTTTGGCCACTTGATAGCAAAAGAACTACCAGCGTGGCAACAGTGAAAAAGTGGGACGGAGGTGACCCCAGCAGATAATTTCGAAATTACCATGTAATTTCGTGCAAAAAGTGATCGTCGCGATGTCCCCCCGTCATTGCACATACTCGTTAACACCTAAAATAAGTCATTCTGTGTAAAAAAGGGGGTGTTATAAAAAATCACCCCAAAAGGGGGGGTATAGTACAAACGGGGTCAACTATAACACCCACCCCGCACAAGCCACCCGGGGGGTCTACAATTTCGGCGGGTGGTATGTCCGGGTGATTACGGTATATACATATATAAATATATATATATATATATATCACAGTACAAGCAAAGTCACGCAGTGAGCAAGTGAGGCAAAGTAGGCACAAGGCCTAAAACAGTACAGAAACGCTGATGATCACCAGACTGAAGTGCCTTGGTGAATATATCAGCAGTGTTGGCCCGAGTGGCCATCTAAGCAAGACGAAGCTGACCACGCTGCTGCAACTCTCGAGCAAAGAAGTAACGCAGAGCGATGTGCTTCGTTTTGTGCTCTAGTCTGTGCTCCTGACACAAGGCAATCATGGCCTTGTTGTCTACGTACAGATTTGTCGTCCCAAGTCAGTCAGCAGGTAGGTGAGCCAGCGTAACTCCTATGCAGCCACGGCCCCTGCGTAGATCTCAGCCTCACAACTGGAACTGAAAACAGAAGACGAGCGGGTAGACCGCCAAGAAACAGAGCTGGAGCCAAGGCTGAAAGTGTAACCCTGTGACGACCGCTGCGTAGCCAAGTCGTCAACCCAAGAAGCGTCTGCGTGTCAAGTGAAGACAACAGGACCCCGTCCTCCAAGCACGAGCCCCATGCGCGACGTACTACACAAGTAGCGCAACACCCCCTTAGCGGCCTCCCAGTGCTCTGGTCGGTGTCTCCCGGGCGCAACGTAGCGTGCCAGGATGCTAAGAGGGTAGGCAAGGTAAGGTCGAGTGCAGGTCATCAGGTACATGAGGCAGCCCACAAGCTCAGGATACGGGCCACTCGGCTCTACGGACTCGTCCGAAGGTGGAGCTGAGAGCGAGTGACCGGTAGGCAGATGAGTGGACTGTGGCGAGGAGTACGTGAAGCCGAAGCGTTGAAGGACCTGCTGCACCATGTGTGACTGAGTCAGGGAGATGGTGCGCCGTGCTCTGTCCCGGGTGATCTGCAAGCCAAGATAGCTGCGCAGCTCACCCAGGTCAGTGCAGTTGAGTCTCTTCTGCAGCTCCGACTTCACAAGGGCCAGTGCCTCAGTGTCAGCAGTGGCAAAGACCAAGTCGTCGACGTGCAATTGGTGTTAGAGGGCTTTAACGCTCTGGAACCCGAATGCAGAGTGTTAGCCTGTCGAACGCACAACAGACAAGTAGCGTTAACCCTCTCAGAAACATCCTGAGTCCTTCTCGCACAGGCAAAGGTTTAGCCCTCGCCTAGCCTAACCCTCGCCCCCCCAAAGTGGGGTTTGCCAAAGGGCTCGTCAAGTATTTGCAGTGGGGGTGATACCCAAATTGTGCACCCAGAAAAAAAAACACCAAACCCAAATTCTCGAAAAAAAAATGCAAATAAAAAAAATCGGGCCAATGCTTCTTGTGAGGCCAGCGATTTTTGGGGGAGGCATTTTTGTTTTTCCGATGTTGTTTCTCAGACTCTTGTAGCGAACAATGCAAAAATTTCACCACATCCTGCGATGTTCCTGATAGAAGGGGGCGAGCAGCATCGCCAGTCAGAAGAAGGAACGTAAGGATGACTAGAATGAGGAGATTACAGGATTGTATGGCTAACCCTAATTGGGGTTGTACCCCGTAGAGAGTACCCCACTATAGCCTACAACATAGAAACACAGTTTGACACACCCCCATAGCCAAAGTGGGGGATAGCAAGAACAACCAACGGTCACAAGACCAGTCAAGCAATAGAACAAAGCTAAGCAAAGCTCAGGGTGGATCCCAAGATCACCACGCGTTCTGAGCACAAGCAAGCAGCCACAAGGCCAGTTCACATGCGGAGTTATAAAAGCACAAGCAGTACATTGATCACAACCTAGCAAGAGAAAGCATGCAGGTATATATATAGATAGATCACAGTACAAGACAAGATCAAGAGATAAGCAGGTGAGGCAAAGTAGGCACAAGGCCTAGAGAAGTGCAGAAACGGTGATGATCACCAGACCCAAGGGCCTTGGTGAAGACATCAGCAGTGTTGGCCTGAGAGGCCACGTAAGCAAGGCGCAGTTGACCACGCTGTTGCAGCTCCCGATCAAGAAATTAACGAAGCACAATGTGCTTCGTTCTGTGTTCCAGTCTCTGCTCTTGACACAAGGCCATCATGGCCTTGTTGTCAACATACAGTTTTGGAGGAGAAGGAGGCTGCTCACCCAAGTCGGTCTGCAAGTAGGTCAGCAAGCGTAACTCCTGTGCAGCCATGGCCCCAGCGTAGATCTCGACCTCACAGCTGGAACCAAGCACAGAAGACGAACGAGTGGACCTCCACGAGACAGAACCAGAGCCGAGACTGAAAGAGTAACCCTGGGACGACCGCTGAGTCGCCTGGTCGTCAGCCCAAGAAGCGTCGGAGTGTCGTGTGAGTACCACTGGACCCCGTCCTCCAAGCACAAGCCCCATGCCCGATGTACTGCACAAGTAACGCAGTACCCTCTGCGCAGCTGTCCAGTGCTCATTCCTGTGTCGCCCGGGGGCGACGAAGCGAGCAAGGATGCTGAGAGGGTACGCGAGGTCAGGTCGTGTGCACGTCATCAGGTACACGAGGCAGCCCACAAGTTTTGGATACGGGCCACTCGGCTCTACGGAATCGTCTGAAGGTGGAGCTGAGAGCGAGTGGCCGGTAGACAGAGGAGTGGGCTGTGGCGGGGAGAACCTAAAGCGGAAGCGCTCAAGGACCTGGAACACCATGTGTGACTAAGTCAGGGTGATGGTGCACCGTGCTCTGTCCCGGGTGATCTGCAAGCCAAGATAGCTAAGCAGCTCACCCAGGTCAGTGCAAGTGTGTCTCTTCTGCAGCTCCGCCTTCACAAGGGCCAGCGCCTCAGTGTCAGTAGTAGCAAAGACCAAGTCTTTGACGTACACGAGGATGTAGAACGGCGGCAGCGAAGGCTCTGTGCGCAGAAACTTCGACGGGTCAGCAGCCGAAGGAGCAAACCTAAGAGCCGCAAGTGTCGTCCTAAGTGTGTCGTGCCACTCGCGGGGCGCCTGGTGGAG